CCCGGCCTTTCTTTCTTTTTTTAATTTTTTTGAGACAGGATCTAAATTTGCTCAGTGTGACCTCAAATGTTGCTATGTAGATTGAGGGTGACCTTAAACTTCTGTTCCCCTTCCTCTATCTCCCAAGTGCGAGGATTGCAGGCTGTACCACATTGGCTAATTCATATAGTGCTTGGGATTAAACCCAGGGCTTCATGGATGCTGTCAAGCATTCTACCAACTGAGCCATATCTCAGTCCCCCCCACCCCCTTTTTTTAAAGAAGGATTTCATATAGTCCAGGCTGGCCTTGAATTTCTGATCCTCCGGCTTCACCCTCCTGTACTGGGATTACAGGCATATACTACCATTTCTGGTCAGTAGTTACTTTTAATATTCCTGTCAATAGATGAGGGCTATAGCAATGGCTCAGTGAGTAAGAACACTGTTGTGAAGATAAGAGGACCCTAGTTCAGATCCCCAGCATCCACATAAAAGCTGAGCTTAGCTTTGTGTTCCTGTAAACCAAAGGGTGCAGGTTGGAGGTAGGTGGATCCCAGGGGTTCTGTGACCAGCCAGCTTCATCAGAACCTGAACCCAAAATGCAGTGATAGGCTGGTTGTGGTGTCCCGCTGGTAGGATTTGCTGAAGGAGGCAGAGACAGGAGGATCACAAGTTCGTGGCCAGCCTGGGCTACACATTTAAAAAAAAATCCAGTGATAAGCTTCTGGTTCAGTGAGATACCCTATCTTAAAAAAAAAATTGGAGAATGATGGAAGACACCTAATATCCTCTTCTGGCCTCTGCACACTCCACACATGTGGATTCATATTACATACAAAGTAATCATATGAGAATACTGAGACAAAGTAAGTAACGTATCTGAGGTCAAAGCAAATAAATCAGAGAGTTCAGGTTCAACCCAAACCCTAGAGCCTGTGCATTTCACTGTTTCATCCTAGGCAGTTTATACGAATGGATAATATGACCTCTCAGGGTGTGTAGTATCCTCTCTCAAGGCAGTTGACATTTGTTTTGTTTTGTTTTTGTATGTGTGTGTCATTCTAAACAGTTTATTGACAGATAATTCGGGGGCTGGAAAGATGGCTCAGCGGTTAAGAGCACTAGCTGCTCTTCCAAAGGTTCCATCCAAAGGTCCTGAGTTCAATTCCCAGCAACTACATGGTGGCTCACAACCATCTGTAATGAGATCTAGTTCCCTCTTCTGATTTACAGGCATACATGCAGGCAGAACACTGTATATATAACAAACCTTTTTAAAAAACCAGATAATTTGTTACATAAATATGTTTGAGAGAAAGAGATGTACATTTAATAGAAATGAGTTGCATAACACGGTGTGACACTGTCCCAGCACCCAGAGGTAGAGGTAGATAGATCTGAGAGTTCAAGGAGCCTAGTCTAGATAGCAAGTTCCAGGATAGCCATGAGTTACATTCAGTCAGCCTTAGTTACTGTGGTAGTTTGAATGTAATTGGCTTGGCCCCCATGATACTATATCTCATAGGGAGTGACACTCTTAGGAGGTGTGGCTTTGTTAGAGTGGGTATGGCCTTGTTGGCAGAAGTGTGTGATTGTGGGGGCAGACTTTGAGGTTTTCTATGCTTAGAATACTCCCTAGTGTGTCAGTAGACTTCCTGTTGCCTTTGAGTCAAGATGTAGAACTCTCAGCTCCAGCACCACTTCTGCCTGCATGCTGCCATGCTCCCATTCATAATCATATAAGAGTTGCTGTGGTCATGGTGTCTTTTCACACAAATAGTAAACCTTAACTAAAGACAGTTACTTTCTGTTGCTGTGACAAAACACCATGACTAAGGTGATTTATAAAGGAAATATTTAATTTGGGACTCCCAGTTCCAGTAGAGTTCATGTCTGTCATGGCATGGAACATGGCAGCAGGTAGGCAAACATGGCACTGGAGAAGTAGCTGAGAGCTGGTGTCATATAGGTATGTGAGCATAAGGTAGAGAGAGCTAACTGGGGATGCTATGGGCTTTTGAAAC